TAAAACTAAGTGACTAATAGGATAGTAAAATGTATGGTATTTTGTGATTGAGTTAGGAACACTTGGCAAATATTCAGGAAATGAAAATACATAGATGAAACTGAGTATAAAATGATTCTGTGACAGAATGAGGAATGTTAAAGTTGAATCAGTTTGGGATTTGGGTCTGTCGTGCTAAAAGAGCAGACTTGAAGGAAATGATCCAGCAGAGCCTGGGAATAACAGTGACGCATCCCGGGGGCGGGGGAGGGGGTGGGGGTTGGGAACAGCAAGTATAAAGGCCTGGAGGTCCCTTAGACTTGCTGTGTGTTGGTCAGAGACACTGGGTCAGTAGGTGATGCCTGAGCCTGGAGACATGACAGGCATCTGGCCTTGGAGAGTCTGCCAGCTATTATGATGCTTTCAAGGTTTATTGCAGGTTTAAGGCCAGAGAGGTTGCTGAGGAGAATAAAGGAGGCTTTCTGTAAATTCTTGATATTGTAACTACTTTCTCTCTACAATAGTTTTGCAAACAATTTGTCCTGCTGCTTTTATTCTTTCTGCTAAGGTGTTTCATCTTAGGCTGAATTAATTGGAACCTATCTCTGAATTGCTCCAGAAAAAGAGCCCAGAGTCACACGACTTGAGGGGCTCTGCTATGGCTCTCCCAAGGGGTCTCTTGTGGGGTCACCTGAATGTATCCCCAGCTTTCCTTCCTTAGGGGTCTACTGTACTGACACTTTATGTCCAGGGTCTGAGGCCATCTCTGTCACAGGAAAGTCCCCACCCGGCGGGGACTACGTAGAATTGCTGCATTCTGAGACTCCCATTCTAATGAGCCACCAACCTTTGCTTGTAAGTGGAATTGATGTCTCCATTATAAGATGCCACCTTTGTTCCTTTGGGTGGAAATTATGTTTTGCCTTTGGGAGCTGAAAGGGTACTTCTTGTGGTTGTGAATGACAGGGTGGGGGAGAGGGAAAGCTTAGAGTTCAAATACTGGTTCTGCCACCTACCATTTCACAACTGGGCAGCTGTGTTGCTTGCCTTCCCAGGTACATGGTGGGTGAGGTTTTGATTTGGTTTTGGTTTGGGGGCCACTGGATGGCGCTTGGGGTCAGGCTTTTGCTCAGGGTTCTCTTCTGGCAGTTCTTGAGGTCTGAGGGGATCCCAGCAATACTCAAAGGACCATGTGGTGCTACAGGTCAAACCCAGGACTCCTTCCTGCATGCAGGCATGCAGTAGAGCATTCTTGAGCTATGTCCCCAGCCCATGACTATGTCTTCATATCTTTAGCACAACTGTTCATAGACAGTATCTCGGTAGTTAGAGCGAGCCAGCTATGTTGGGTGAAAAAAAATTAATTGTTTTAACAAAATTCAAATAGTTTCTTTCTTTTAATTATTTTTTCTTTTTGGTGGCAGTCATATGATTCACATCTAATTGCTATTCATCTGACAACTCTTTGAAAAGGTCATTCTAACCTCAAGTTCAGACCAAGTTCTTCACTCACTGTTCCCTGTAATTCTCAGGAATATCCTGATAGAAAACAATGGATAGTCTCAAAGCATTGCTCTTTTATGACTAATCATTAATCTGCATTGCATTATTTTAATTAAGCAGCAAAATATTATGTCAAGTTCTCTCCCAGGTCTCTTTGATTGGGGCTGTCAGTGGTTACTGAAAACATTTGTAATATTTATCACCCGGCCAATACCGAAGTCAGGGATAGCTTTTAGGAGCTGCCTTCTTTTCTTTTCTCCTGAAGAACCTTGGGTATATAGCAGTACATAAAATGTTGATGAGAATATTCTGTGAATTCATTTCAGTGCTTCCTTTGCTCTTCGATCCAAGCTATTGGTAATGCATGACAAAATACTTAATCAATTTGGAAGATGGTTCTATCAGATTCCACTCCTGTTTTGGTACTTGAGAATCCAGTACTGTTTGGCTCAGTTGGCCTGGTATATTAATGATATATTTGCACAAGTCACTGGCCAGTGGAGAAATATTGACAACAGAGATTATTTTGAAGATACATCAAATATGTGATCTGTGTGCAAAAGGGTAATACTGTGCTAAGAAAAGAAATGGCTTTGTTTTTCTTTTTGTTTTGTTTTTTGGGCCATCCCTGGAGATGTCACGGTCACGGTCCTCCCGTTGTTCATCGATTTGCTCAAGCGGGCCCAGTAATGTCTCCATCATGAGACTTGTTGTTACTGTGTTTGGCATATCGAATACGTCGCGGGTAGCTTGCCAGGCTCTGCCGTGCGGGCGAGATCCTCTCAGTAGCTTGCCGGGCTCTCCAAGAGGGGCGGAGGAATCGAACTCATGTTGGCCACTTGTAAGGCAAACGCCCTACCGCTGTGCTCCAGCCCTGGAGATGCACCAAGTGTAATCTTGGCTCTGTGCTCAAGGATCACTGTTGGTCCCTGACAGTGCTGGGGGACCATACACAATGTCAGGGATTGAGTTAAGGTAAGTCAAGGACCTTAATTTCTACTATATCGTTGCCAACTCCACCACCCCCAAAAAAGAGTTTTAATTGTTCTGGCTATGAATTGCCTAGCTTACGGGCGTTTGCCTTGCACTCGACCAACCCAGGTTCGATTCCTCTGTTCCTCTCGGAGAGCCCAGCAAGCTACCGAGAGTATCCCACCCACACGGCAGAGCCTGGCAAGCTCCCTGTGGCATATTCAATATGCCAAAAGCAGTAACAAGAAGTCTCACAATGGAGACATTACTGGTGCCCGCTCGAGCAGATTGATGAACAACAGGACAGCAGTACTACATTGCTACAATTGTTTGGACTTAAAAAGTCCTGAATCAGGAGACTATTTCTCTTGAATGATTGGTACACATACAGTGTTGGTATGTTTCTGCTATTTTCCACTTTTGTTGCTCCTATGGAAGCTATAATCTGTGTAGATGAAAAATTCCTTTTTGTTCTTTGAACAGTTCTTTTTAATAAAATGCAAAGTATATTCAATATATTTCCCATGCACTTGGATGCTGAGGGTGCTAGAGAAGTCAGATAGAGCTTCAGTTCTATTCTGCAATAGGTGTCATTGGTGGGCTGTGAAGAAAGGGTAGTGGAGGAGAGTTTGTGTTTCAGACAATCTGAATAAAGAAGGGGACTTCAGAATGTATGGGCATGTAGTTGACAGATGATGGGTTGATAAACATGGGTGTTGGATGGATGGAAGGTTTATTTTTTAAAGACAAGAAAGCCAGTGGTGTTCAGCTTTGTTCACAGAGAAGGGTCTAAAGCACATGGAAATAGTAGAAATAGAGATGGGAATCTTTAGATGAAATCAGGTGCTGAAAAAAAGATGAGGTGAGTGATGTCAGAGCACGGGATGTTGGAGAAGGCTAATCAGGTCTATGACTTGAAGACCGGAAAGGTGAGGACTGAACTGAGAAGGTTGAAGATGGAACGCATTGGGTGAATAAAAATTTATTTTAGGACATTTGGGGCAGCAAAGTAGTTTGCTCTGTCACATAGATCACTGGGTATTTAATCAGGTTCAGAAAAGGATTCGAGTGGAAGATGGGGTTTTTCCGTCAAAACATTGCAAAAGCCAGGAGGTGACTGCTCTAAACAAGACATCTTGCAAAAGGAGAAAGGGGGTTTGCAGAGAAACATTGAGAGCATCTGGGGAAAATTCCTTGAGAATTTTTAAAATGACAAGTCAGAGAGGCCTAGGGAGGTGGCAGTGCTGTGGGTTCAGAGGAGCAGAGGATTTCCAGAGCATGGACTTTGTAGGCAGATCTACAGGACAGAGACTAGTAAGAACTGAGGTCACCATTGACTTGGAGTCCTGGTCTTCATTGGCTTCTTTGTTGAGAATGATTTTCAGATGAGTCAACCAGTTCTCAATGGTTTTATGGGCACTCAGAGGGGAAATTGGAACATTATGCCACTTTTTCACCCAGTTTGTCTGGGAGGGAGTGAGAGGACCTCAGAAAAATCATTTCTGGCTATGGTGATGTGGCCTTGGTCCCCTGAGGAGGCTTCTACCTTTGAAACTGTTTGATGCTGACCCATAAGAACTAGGTCATGTTTATATTTGGTTAAACATGTTTATATTGTTAACATTTTATTGCTATAGTTCAGGATTGAAAAAAATATACCAGGTCCTTTATATCATCAATGTTTTAGCATGTTTAACATGATTTTAATATTATTGTTATTATTATTTTGGTTTGGAAGTCATACCCATCAGTGCTCAGGCTTACACTTGGCTCTGTAGTCAGATATTACTCCTGGCAGGACTTGGGGAACCATATAGAGTGCCAGGGAATAAAACCAGATTGGCCATGTGCAAGGCAAGCACCCGCCTTGCTGTACTGTCTCTCTGCCTCCTTATTACTGAGTACTTAAGTAATACTAAAGCATCAACCCTCTAAAAGAGCAATGCAGAACATTACTCTGTGATTTTCTTTTTATGTTGTAGATTGGCATTTGCCCTCCAATCTGCTCTGTTCACTCCTACTAGAGTTAAGCATTCCAAAACACATTCCAAATCTTGCTCCCCTATTCCCTGTATGTTATTCTGCAGACTCTCCTGGCTCATAGTATGGGATCCACACATCTTAGTGAAATGGTACAGGCCCTGGGTGTTGTGGCCTCAATCTCTCCTGGGTCAACCCTTAACATCATACTTAGTCCTGAAAGAAAGCTCCATGTGCCCCTCTACCTTCTGACCACTCTGGGGTCTGTGCTCTCACCATTGTACACTCCCTTCCCCCAAAGACTATTTCTTCTAATCCCTTTGTCCTTTCGGAGCCTCAAGTGGTATTCCTTGGAGACTTCCCCAGGCAGACTGGGCTGCCATCTCCCCCCTTCATGGCAGTTCCCTTCCCTTTCATTGGCTGTAGACTAACATGTTGCCTCTGTGCTGAGATTCTCGACCCCGCACAGCAAAGAACATTTTTGTTCCAGCTCCGTGACTGGTGCTGGAGTCATAGGCACAGTCCAGGAACCTGCTGGTGCTCACCGTGTCCTTACTTCTCCGCAGGGAAGCAGTTTAAGTGCACAGTGTGCGACTATACGGCAGCCCAGAAGCCCCAGCTGCTGCGGCACATGGAGCAGCACGCCTCCTTCAAGGTAAGTGCCACAGATGGAATGGGTAGACAAGCCACACACATGTCACAAGTCCTAAAGAAGACGGAGAGAACAGCCTTGGCCCATGTAGGGTGATCTGCAAGGGTCGTCCTGCTCAGACTGGAACAGGTGGAGTCTAAGGCATAGCTCAGTTCATGGCACACCCCAGCCTTCCAGAAGCACACGTTTCTCTGTATTTGGAAAGCAGATACAAGGCTGCAGCAATATTTTATTGCTCTTGCTATAAGATACCTGAGTGATTTAATGGAAGAATATGAGCTTTGGGGACAGGATGTATGATCCTGGATTGCCATAGGTCAGACACTTGATACTGCAATGCAAGCTGAGGTTAGTGCTCAAGCAGTACCCACTGTTGTGTTCTCCAGAGAATAAGACCTGAGATGGTCATCCCTGAACTCCTATTTTAATACTCCTAGTTGGTATATTTTTAATGGACTTGATAAATGTCACTTGGCTGTCTCTTATGTTAGATATAGTAGGCCTCATTGGCAGCAAGAGTTATGGTCCAGTGAATTTGTTCAGTAAGCCATTCTGTTCAGCATTCTTCAACTTGACCCTTAAAATGGATGATTCAGACGTGTGGGGGGAAAAAAAAACTTGATGCTCTAAATGTTTGCTGAAATTGTGTTTACTGATAACTCCCAGGGAATGACAGAAAGTGGAAATGATTATGGGTGGCCGCACGCAGAGGTGGCATTATTGGGCCCTGTGCCCACACTGTACCAGGAGCCTCCCGCCCATCAACTCTGACCTTTCCACAGTGGCATTGTCTTATCTGACAAGTGAAGACCCTGTACCTCAGAGTAGTTAACAAATCACCTTTTTCATGTCCATGTCCACAAATTACAGTGGCTATTTTAATGTTTGTTTGTTTTCTGTTTTAACCTCTGGGCCACACCAGTGGTGCTTACGGCTTATTTCTGGCTCCATGATCAGGCTTAGGTCACCTAATGCATCTGATACGCAGTGTCAGATGGAACCTGGGTCACCTGCATGCAAGCAAACGTCCACCCACTTTATTATCTCTCCAGCCCTACTCATTTTGTTCTTTTTTTATTTTATAAGGTAGTTCACAATATTTGATCACATCTAATATTCAAATACCAATCCCACCACCATTACACCTTCCCACCACTTCCAGGACGTTTCCATCCCAAGCCCCTATCCCTGTCCCAAAGCACAAGTGAAATAACATATTTTGTATTGTTTGTTATGAAAAACCGCTGAAAATGCTACAAAAATGTATTCATAGATAAACAGTGTGAAGATTGGTCTATTTTGGCAGTGGCCACTCAGACATTCTTTAGGACATCACTAACATGTTGTTAAAGATTGAGTGATGTGGGGCTGGAGCACAGTGGGTAGATCGTTTGCCTTACACATCGCTGACCCGGGTTTGATTCCCAGTATCCTATATGGTCCCCTGAGCACTGCCAGGAGTAATTCCAGACTGCAATGCCCTGAGCAATGCTGGGTGTGACCCAAAAAGAAAAAAAAAGATTGATTTGAGCTTTCATATATATATATATATATATATATATATATATATATATCTGAAAATATGTATATATGCATGTGTGTGTGTGTGTGTGTGTGTGTGTATTTCCCTCTATGATTGGTTGCCTACTATTTGAACCCCATCAAATGTGGTACGGTAATCTTGGAGAATGGATAGGGAGTGTCTTATGATGTGTCATTCATGGCCGTGCGGTACAGGAATACGTTCACTTGTGTCTGAGGCTCAGCCCGAGCATGACAGCGGTTGGGTTCTGGAGGTTTTCAGCTTCCGGGGCTGGGTCTCTTGGGGCGGGGAGGGTTCTCACCCGCCCCCCCTCTAGGGCGCTGGAGTGAAACAACCTCGCCAGGGGTTCAGGTGGCATCAGCCCTGATCATTTGAATGTTGATCAGCCTGAGTTCACCATCCTGAAGGTAATAAGAGTGCTTCCCCTCCCCCCACACCTTCCTTATTCACAACTCCTCTAAAGCTCAAGACAGTCCTGTGAGAGATAGATTGTCAATGCTCTCTCCATTTGCAGTTAAGAAAATAAGTGTCTCAGAGCTGATGAAGAGCACATGTGCTTTATGTATCTATAGGAAGTGGGGAGCCAGAACTTAACTTTCTTTAAGACCTAGACTTAGCTTTTCTCCTGACTCATTCTCAGTGACCTGCTATGGGTAGACAGGAAGAAACTGCAGAACCAAGACTGTGCATCTCTGTGACTCAGCAAAGCAGATCTAACATCTCCGCTCACCTAAGTTTTGTAGGGAAGAGCCACATGTCAGCTGGTGGGACTATCCTGGTATCTTAACTGAACACTTGTCCACTTTAGGCATAATCAGAACCAAGAGCTGTAGCTCTTATTCCATGTCTTGTAGATGTGAGTCTTTGAGCCACTCTAGATTTCCTCAGCTTAGGACAATGATGGTACTGGAGGACAGAGAGCTAAAGAGATCTGCCCTTATAGATGTGAACGTTAGATCTAAGCAGTTACTGCTTTTCTTGCTATTCCAGAAACAGAAGTGGGCTTTTCATTCATTCCTTGGTTTTCAGTATGGAATGTTTTCCCTCCCTACCCAGACTCAATTGGGCTGGAGCAATAGCACAGCAGTAGGGCATTTGCCTTGTGCGCAGCTGGCCCAGCCAAGCTGGGTTTGATTTCTCCGCCCCTCTCGGAGAGACCGGCAAGCTACTGAGAGTATCTCGCCCGCAGGACAAAGGCTGGCAAGCTACCCATGATGTTTTCATTATGCCAGACACAATAACAACAAGTCTCACGATGGAGACGTTATTGGGCCCACTCGAGCAAATCTATGAACAACGGGAGGACAGTGCTACAGTGCTACCCTGACTCAATTGAGCAATCTACCCTGCAGTCCTCATTGTTTTCCTTTATCCTTTTATTTTAAATTTCTGAAACTTAGTTTAATGTAAGTAGAACATTTTGGGAAAGGTTTGAATTAGGTGGCATTCTTATATGTAGTTTTCTGCCATCACACAGTTGCCTCTTCCTGTGGGACCATGGCGGCTGCTGAAACTGTTGCTGGATTTTGTAACTCCCACATGCTCCTTGTGATTTTAGACCTGTTCTTTACTAATCAGATGCTGCATCTCCCACGCTGCAGGTTAGGGTTCTCTTCGTGTACCTTTTAGTACTAATTTAAGTATTGTTTTTCCTTTGTTGAAACTGACAGAGCAAAAGAAAATTGACTCTTGCCAATCATCCTCTTCCTATATTGATTTTCTTGCTATTCCCTGCCTTCTTTGCCGACCCCAGGTTGGCTGTTTCTGTTCTAACCAGTTTCCTCCCCCCAAGTTAGTAGCTTTCAACAACTTAATTTTATTGTTTTATAGCTCTGATATTCAAAATTTTAGTGTAGGTGATGGCAGGGCTTTCTTTCCTTCCATAGGCTCTAGGAGAACATCCATCCCCTTGTCTTGTTCTTCCTTCCTGTGAGCATTTCACGGGACATGTCCCCTTCCTCCATCTTCAAAGCCAGCAACCCAATACCCACCTTCACATCTCATTCTCTGACTCTTCTCTTCTGTCTCCCTCTAATATGGGAGATAACCCAGGCTAGTGTAATATCTTAAGGCCAGATGATTGACAAGCTTAATTACATTGGTCCTCATTTCCTTTTTGCCATTTCCCAGGATTAAAATAGACATGGGCATCTTTGGGTGGGTGTTCCTCTCTCTGCCTGCTGTATTTCCCTGAGCTTTTTTTTTTTTTTCCACATTTACCCCATGGTAGAGAATTTTTATCAAAATCAGGAAATACATAGTGTGCATCCTCTCACACTCCGTTTTTATATCAGCAACAAATATTACTAAGAAATCAGGCCTCCCTGTTTCACCAGTCCGAGATAAGGCCTCAAAATCTATGGGCAGACATCCCTAATCTAGTGCAATCTTGGCCTGCAAGATGAAACCAATTTCCTTTTCTAGATCGAGATACATAATTTACAATATATAATTTGTGTTGAGAAACACTGTAATAAGGGCAGGCTCCTGTATTGACATTTTAAATTACTTTGTTTTATTTATGTATGTATTTTAAAATAAAGTTAAGATGTTTTCTCTAAAAAAGATTTGAAAAATGTTTCTTGGTCTCTTTCCTTGTAGAATTTTTACATACATTATTTTTTAAACGTGATTGAAGTCTTACTGTAAATGAGTTTTTTTGGATGAAGATTAAAATGTGTTTTCTACTGTATTGCTGATAAAGCTCTATTGGAGAATGTGGCTCAGATAAGTTGCCAGGTGGTTTGCTAGGAATGCTTCCCTTATAAATTAGAATAAACTCTCAGTCAACGGCTGAACAGGATTATTAATATTGTCTTTTTATTTATTATCAGTTAAAGGCATTTTCTCAATCCTTAAAAGATAAACTACTTTCAATGAATGCTCAAAAAGAAGAGTGTAATAGTTTAATTAACCATTCCCCTTTTCTTATAATCGGATAATTTGGTGTTGCCAGATTTTGCTGTTACAAGTAACCCTACACTGGGGCTTCTTCATGTTGAAAATGCTTCAGTGTTATTTTAAAATCGAAGGGCCAGTGTAATAATGGGTAAAGCCCATCAAATCACTGAGAATTCAACGTTAGAGAAAGTGTTCCGTGCTTTTTTTTTCTTTTGTAACTGTAATTAGAATGTACTTTCTAGGATGGGATCGCCATTGTCAGTTTTACATATGGCCAGAAAAATAAACTTGGGTAAGATGAAGTCCTGCTGAGTCAGGAGTCTCTATACAAATTAGACTATTCGTGCAGTCTGGGTTTTCAACTCTGCTTTCTTGCAAATAAACAAACAACCCACACTCATTCTGAAAGGAGACATGATTGCCTTGTGGTGTTTCCTCTCTCTTACTCCTGGATAGGCGACACCTCTGTTGATAGAAGTGTTTTCAAATCTACACACAGCTCTGTCAGTAGCAGTGTTCTCAGTTATATAGTTATATGGTTGATTCAGCATCTCCTTGC